CTATCATGTAACTTTCATCGTCGTTCTACGACAATGCATTTTTTTTTTTATGTAATTGTGTGCAAACTGTTAACGTCGTCTGGAATGTATGTTAAACGATAATAATTTAGTGTTACGTTTGTAACTGATAATAATAGAAGTCACGGAAAACAATGATTACGGTTGAAGCGTTTCGGTGGGTTTTCAAAAGTAAAAGCATAACACCGTGTTGTGTGACGGCTGCGATGACTGTACTTACTCTGACTGATAATAATATGACAGAACGCTTTTGGAAATATCGTGATATTTGTTCACGATCGGCACATTAATATCGAATGAAACCGAAATGGCCGAATCGTGTGCGGAAAAAAAGTTATTGTAGCGGTTTTCCCAAGTTGTCGTAACCCGGTAAACACTTGCTCGTGGTCTGGACACACTCCAATCCAAGTCCCATTAGAAATCCTATATTATATTAGTATTATATTATTATTATGTTGTTATGTTATCAAACACACACACACACGCGCGAGCGCCACCGAGACTTAAACGCGCGAGCACAACAATAATAATTAATAATAGAACCGTGCAATGTAATGTTGCCCGGAGATTTCGATTTAAATCGGTTTGGAATTACATATTTTGTTTTTTATTGTCTCCGTTTGGCGCGTTCACATAATATTTTATTATAACGGCACAGAAAATAATTTAATATCCGACCAAACTCGGCCGAGGCCTCCGGTTATTTTTCAACTGCCATTGTTTTTAAACGCCAATAACGATCATGACGTGCCGGTCTAAAGAGTTACATAAACAACAGTCAAGTTTAACCGAGAGAGAGAGAAAAATTATTAATAACGTTTAATTAGAAGAAAACAGTGGATAATCGTTATACGTTCACTTTGAGCGTCCTCGTGGTATATTATTAGCATTATAAATTGCGCTTTAATTGGGTCGCCGACAATGTATAGGACTATTACCATACTAGTTCAAATAGGCCTCTCTCATTTGTAATTTTTCAGATTCACGGTTGAATGATATCGTCGGTAAATTCATTTCTGTATACCTAGACTAGTTATTTAAGTTGAACATTTTTGAGAATTTCAAAATAATTATAAGTATATTAATAGATAAGTAAAAACGTAATGTTCTAAAACATGTTATAGCGTATATTTATTATTTACACATACTTTATATAATTATTATTAAACTCCGGAGTCATGTAAGCAATAATAACAATTTTTATAATTTAAATGATAAAAATGAGGTGACAGGATGATGAAACCTAACCTGAGTCTTGTGTACTCGCATGGCTAAAGCCGCCGCCAGTATTATTTTCTCTCCGCCGCATTTCGTTGCTAAATTCCTTGATATACCTAAGTGTGTGATTTTTGAACCAGAAAATAGCGTTATATAGATCAAATTAATATCGATGACCCTTTAAATACCAAAGAGAGAGAAAGGGCATTATAAGAATGCACTGTTGTTACCCCTCGGTCAAGTTACACGTGTAACAAACGTCAGTACACCAAAAGGAAAACATGAAAACCGTTTTTATAGTATAATATATAAGTATATACCGTCGAAATGAATACCTAAAAATATTGTGGAGAAGACATGCGCGCCCCCACGTTATAATTTTGTTCGGATCTTATACATATTATATTATTATACAGTTATTGGAGTAAAGCCCACGCGTTCGTGACGATAATTTAGTGATCCATAACACGGTCCGTTATAATTACGTTTGGAGATGAAACCAATAAAAACGGATTGCTTACTTTGGGGCTAATGAAAGAATTTCGTTTTAGAGAAGACCACAACACAAAACTCGTTTACGAATAGGCACAACACCCAATATCGTTTAGGAGAGGATGATCATGACGTAATTGTAACTCCGCAATACGCTTAAGGCGATAAACACTATAACCTACAACGATGATAGTAATATAGTAAAATAGTAGTTTTGATGGGATTTTTCGCCGACGTTCATTATATTTATTATTATTTTGTGCAATCGTTATCCAAAAACGAGTAGGAAATAAATGGAAGGTTTCGTGTAAGAGAAGGCGTTGAATAACACTGACGTTTGTGACAAACGGTTATTATAAACTCTAATGAATATTATAGTCGAGCACACACATTAGTAAACATAAGTACCTTCTTCCTGGGCCTTTCACCCGACAGGTAACCTGGGTCGATCACCCTAGTTCTAAAAACGGCAATATAAGTTCTCGTTAACTGTTGTCATCGTGTCGTTCACAGTTACATTTTAAATGTAATCTCTTTTTTAGTTTCTCTCTATTTCTTATTTTCATGTTTATCCGTATTGGACAAACATCCGTCTTGTCTTCCAGTTTATTTCATATGGTGGTTTTGAGCTAGACGGAGCCTATTCAATTATATCTATATATTTATACGGTATACTTGTGTAGGCCTTATATACGGTTAATATCAACTAAAGTCGTGCCTTTCCAAGTGCTACCGCGTGGCAGGTATACTACTTTAAACGTTAATAATAATATGGACTATATTATTATATTATGGAATCAAGCGAAATTCGGTCGTGTCGTTTACGGGGCGTCCAAATCTCTGCGAGCTGATTTTCTTTTAAACACATGACGAAGCAACAATTACATATTATATACGTACTAGACTATTCATCAATGGTACTCGTTCATATTAGAACCTACAGCCGCAACGGCGGTCTTTCCAAGTTGAAAGCACACATGACTTCCGCATCGCGATTGTTCAGAGGAATAGCCGCGCTATCGTGGTTGTATTGTGCATGCTCGCTTATAATATTATTACATTACATTATATTGCCGTTTACGTAGTTGGGAAAATATGAATATCATCGTGCGGCGGAAAGACGTCACATTCACTACAATATAATATAATAATAAGTATACAATAATTTTCTCCTACCTACCACAACTTGTTCGTTCTCAGATATTCCCCGTAAAATAATATACTATTACTACATTATTATTATTATTATTATTATGTTCAAACACACACACACACACACACATATATATATTTGTATTCATTAGCGGTTTTTTTTTTTTTTACAAAGAAGATGGCTAGATATTGTTACCAAACTCGCAGTTTCCGCACGCCTTTCTCCGGTGAAATTATAACTTTCATTGTCTTACATGTAAGTATATACACCTGCATCTACCTACGGGTATATGTACATCATATTATTATAGTCGAGCTAACACCCAACGTAAAACACCGTGACGGATTGCCATTAGGTAAAAATAATACCGTATAATACATTATTATAATCCTTGACCACCGTCAAGAGAGGAGTTCGGATTCTGTCGGGTTACGTGTATAGATATCGAATTTAAATAATATATAATATATATTTAGGTGCCATCAATAATCAAAAATATCATATTTATACATACATGTACATTGTACAATCATATATCGAGGAATAACGACTTGTGGTAGGTATATGAAAATTAAAATAAATATTAACATTAGTTTTGTATTCCGAGTTTGTTCTAAATGATGTATATTGTGCGGGTGTGTGTTGTAGTTATGAGTGCGCGCTATATATGCAAAAATATTGATGCGAAACGCTCGCACCGGAAACAGCGGAAGAGGAAACGACTTATGTCGTCGACTCCTCTAGAATTATTAAAGTACAATAACGAAGAAAAGAAAGGTTGCACAACGCTTGTCTACGAGTAGTGTTAAAAAACCAAATCGACCATAAGTATAACTGACAAAACCGAAAATCTGACAAACACTACAAGTCTTGTAAAACCTAAACTATGACCGCTAAATAAATATAAAAAACGTTAAATGATGAAAATTAAAAGGACACCAATCGTTTTTATAAATTTTACAAGACGGCAAAAATGTATTTTTCCAATACGTTTTCGTGAGTGATGTTGTTTTCAGTATCTCTTTTAAAAAATGAAGACAAATTTTAAGAAAAGTACAGATAGTAATATTTATTGTTTATATATTATAACGTATGAGACAAAACTTGTCATTTGTACCTTTTAAGTGCTCAAATTCTAATCTACATAATAAAAGTATTATATGTAGTATAAAAACGTTGTCTATCGATTAAACTCGTTAGAAACTCTTTTTTTGTAAGTTTCACAAATTCAGTTCTAGACTTCATGTGTAGTCCGAGTGAAGTGTTCAATAATCATATAGCCGGGAAATACCGAAAAACCGCATACTATAAAATATAATTTATACAATTTTTAACAGGTAAAAGCCTATATCAGCATACTAGACTATAATAAATATATTGTACTACACTTATTTTTTGCTTAATCAAACATTCTTTAACAAACAACTTGTACTATTAAAAAACAGTTCTCTATAAAACTCGAATTTATAAAATTACGTTAATATAGGAAACTTGTTATATTATGAATCATAAAGAATTTGCGTCAGAAAAAAACCTCTATGATAGATAATTATAATATTGTAATTAGCCGTTGAACCACATAATATTCTGATATTCAGTGGTTAAAATTTGAGGGAAAACATTCAAGAAAATTGTTGTGAACCAGTTTTGATGATTACGCAACGAGTAGATACTGAATTTTATTTGATTTTAGCCAATAACCATTTAGTATATAACCGGACGGGAATAAAAAAAAAAAAACCAAAACGGCCATGACAAGTCGACAGTCAAGTAGTCAAACATACAAATCGCAAGTACCAGGGTTGACAAGTTTAAAACCATTTTATATAAATCGGACAATTTCCATATGAATAATATGATTTTAATGATTTTTCAACGCTTGAACATTTACATTTAAATTATATTTTGCCAATTATATATTGTACCACAATTACAGTTTCCTACCGAATTAAAATTAAGATACATCGCCTACCATCTTGACACTTAGTATCCAGTTACTTTGCTGTCTATACTTATGTACCTCGTAGGAAACTCTGCTTCTGCCGTCCATAAAATGTAGGATCTAATAATTAGATAGGGTTTAATATAATATAATGTAAAAAAAACCAACGATGACTGATTCGATATTATATATTTTTATTTTGTTGTATTTACACATTGGACGCGTACATTAACGCGCCGGATAAGTTTGATAAATAAAAATTGGAAAGAAAAATAAATCAACAACGATACTTTCTTTCCCGAATACACATAAGCACATAAGCGTCGTACGTATCCTATAAAAAACTAAAACATAAGAAAAATAATAATAATAGGGAATACAATAAGAGGAGTAGGGGGTAGATAGATATAATAAGGATAATAATATTATGTTATTCTACAATAGGTTTTATAATAACTACATAATATAATATTATTATTATGTCTAGAACATATTGTACATTATTATAATGTAACTCAACGTTCGAATATATTTGTATGTTATGTTATCATTTAAATATTGTTATTCGTTTGTTTATAATAATAATTTTTTTTTACGGATACAATATAATAATATTATCATAATGATTTTGTGCAAAATGAGCAACGTTTTTATATTATTGCGCTAGTAAAATTTACAAAAATACCCGGCGGGTAAGAGAGCATACTAAATAAGTCAAGTTGTTTTGCCAAAGTGTTAGGATTGGTTTAATCAACGCTGAGGTACCGGCCACATTGAGTGGAAAACTTAGAAACAATCGGATAGTTCAGTTCATTAACATAATAATATAATAATTGTTATTCGTACACATGTATAGTATTTGTCGACGAGTAGCTTTTTCGACTCAACTATACCATTATAACGGTCGCACTGATGTATACTCATTAATTAATAACTCATTATAAACTGGTCTTGTTGTAGACGTGAAGAAGTCAGGCCACCGGTGTAGTCTTTCGCTCGTTTCCATATCTTCCGGACCGAAGATAAAACGGTAAAAAACCCCACAGACCTTATGGTAATATTTTTTTTTTTACACACTAATGAAATATCGATGCCGTCATTAAATCAATAACCCACGGACCCGGTCGGGACGGTTGTCTTCGACGACCACGAAGACTTGTCTCGGTAAAACGACGGGTTACGTGGACTACGTGAGGAAAAAAGCATCTGCAACAGTTTCACACGTGTTCGACCAGTATCCAAATGTAACTTTTTATTTTTAAGTGATCGAGTTTTTCGACAAATAATGCGACGGTTACGCGTTGGACGTGCGCAAGTACTTTTTTACGGCATCAGTGCGCCCGTTACTCGTTGTGTATTAAATAATAATTATAATATTATTAGGTATGAACATTTTCGGATATTGATTTTTCTTAGTTTTTTACGCTCTTTTACCCAGGGGGGCGGTTTTTATTATGTTTTTTTACATATAGAAAACCTAAAAAATTATTGGTAACACGACGACAATAAAAAATAAAATGTATTCAAGTTGAAGTTGTATAATGCAAGAACGTTCAGTGGCGCGCAAAACAGGGTTCAGTCGACCACTTGAACTGTGGCATAAGCGCTGAATGTGACTTTCTTGGGTTCGTCGTTGCATTGTTGATACGTATGACTATGCTTGTTGTTCTTTTTGATGACCGACTTCAGATGGCCGCCGTTGTTGACTTGTTGTTGCTGATACCTGTGCTGGAAATGGTGAGGTTGCTGCTGATGGTGATGGTGGTGGTGGTGGTGATTGAAATATTGATAGAAATTGGCGGTGACCGATTCGCCGACGCTGTTCCGACGTCGAAACGGTTGGGGCTGTTCCGAGGGCGGAGGGCTGCTGGATGTGATTTCCCGTAATTTTCCCAAAAATCGCGTGCCAAACGACGTTGGCGGAGACGCGACGGCCGGTTGATCGTACCGGCTATACATTTGTGAAGCCGGCGGGGGCTGAGCTATTTGCAAATGTTGTTGTCGGCGGCCCGGCCCGCTGCTTCGGCTACGAGTTCTGGCACCTTGTCGCGACCATCGTCTTTGCGATTCGTATCTGCCGTCCGGCCTGTCGTAATCGGCCGTCGACCACAGCCTGTCCGTCGACGACGGCGGCTGGTATGGCTGCGACGCCTTGACGTCAGTGGCGACCGCCGGCTTCCTCTCCGGTTCCGGACTAGACGGCACGGCGCAATGGTTGACCGTCACTCGGATGAACTGACCCCTGACTACTTTTTGCTGTTGCCTTCCGCCGCCACCGCCACCGCCATCGTCCTCGGTTTTGGCCTTATACTTTCTCCTCTCCGGCCTTTGGGGAGGAGGCTTGTTTTCGTCGTTATCTTCATTGCAAACGATGGTGTCCGCGGGCGTCGGCGAGTCCGGAGTACTCATACTTATGATGCTCGACGGCTGTCCGTCCCTGTGTCGCAAGTCCTGTGACGCGTCCTGTAATGCGACTACCGGACCCGCAGTTACTTCGATGTGCGTCACGCCGTCCGTGTCGGTGCGTTGAATCAAATTGTACCTGTTCACCTCGGTCACCGACAGCGGTCTGGTCGCTATTGCCGGTACTGCTGTGGAGGCCGCGGGTGATTTACGTCGTGCCGCGTCGCCGTTACCGCCGCCGGAAGTTCCGTTCCACGGTTTCGCCTCTAACTTGTACCTTTTACTTTGTTCTTGGTAGGTCCTGCAAACGTCCGGCAACTTATTGTCCCGGGCTCGGACCACGATCGCCTCCAGGCCGCTGCCGCCCGCCGTCGACGACCTCCGGGTTTTTATCACCCACACAGCGATACCGGGTAAAGCGACGGCGTCTGTATGGCAAAACGCGACGTCCGAAAGGGCGTACACTTCGCGTCCCGCCTCGTTGGCCGTCACCGCCGATGTCGTAGACATCTGTTGTTCTCTGAGCGACGCGGCGTCCGCGTCGTCGCTGTCTTCGGACACTCCGCTGCTGTTGGCGCTGTCTGAACCCGCGACGGCCGTAGCCGCCGTACCGTTTTTCTGAGACGTCCTCTTGCTCGGGTCTTCATACGAACCCAACGACGCCAAGTCTTCGTCGGACTCGAAACCCTCGTCGTCGGGCCTACGCCTTTGGTACGGCACGATTTCCAACCCGATGTCTCTGCTGGTGCCGCATATTACCGAACACCGACGTCCAGGCAGTCGATCCCGCTGCTGTTGTTTGCACAGTTGCCTGACCAAGGCGGCCAGGCTGTCCGAGTCGGCTGAACCCTGAACGGGTACGCGACCCAACATTTCGCAATCGGCCGTCACGCTACTCATTGTAATCTGAAACAAAAAACAATTGTTTTTAGTTTATGTGTTCACAACTGCAAGCACTAATGGAGTAGGATGATATATACTACATGTACACCTAACCATTGTTCATATTTTACTGTTCTATGACATGTTACCTAATGTGAGTTGATCATCAACATTTATTGTTGGGTTTCACTACCCTTCTAGATTCAATAGCCAATGCAAATTATTTTGCACGATTAGCATTGCACCGGCCATTTTTGGATTTAAGTATACTTTTTAAAATTGTAGCCATCTGATGATAAGGCTAAGCTGCACTATCCCTATTTACACACAACTAGTTGTACACAACTGAATTGCTTTCATATACTGTGTGGGGGACCAATTATGTTGCTCTATATACTGGTTTATAGAACCAATACAACGTTGTACAACCCAGATTAAGTACTCGTAGTTTAATATTTAATGTTTTTCTTTTTTAGTATTTATTTTTGTACTTAGGTATCTACTCTCTGGAGCGTAATTATTTTTAAATAAATGATGTAGTTTTATCATATTAAAAAAAACTTGAAATTAACGAAAAATACCATCCAATGAACATATTTCACTAGACTTGGAGAGATTAATCGTTTATATCCATTTTTAGGATATGTATAGAAACTGTAAAATAAGCCATATCTAACCATTATCTATCGCAGTAAAATTTAAATTATTTAGAATGTTGTATGGCCCAAGTGAGAGTAGTTACATTAGCATAAGATAATTTTCGTTTATTAAAATGATATAATTTATTTAAATATATAATCGATGCACCTAATACAACGGTGAAAATATTATGTTTATCACAGTAAAAACGATTAACAAATTTACCGATACATATTAATATAGTTTGCCACGTGAATTTATATAATTGCTCAATTTAAAATTATTCGTAAATTTATAATAACATATAATAACACTATTAACGGCAAATATTAAAAAATCATAAACTAATTTATGCTCCCCGGTCACACGATCCACGTTTCCGTTAGGTTATTACTATTAGATGCAAATTAATAGGTTCTAGTATTATATTATATTTTATAATAATCATTGTGAATATTCGGGTTAGTAATATTAATTGCAATAAGTTAGTGACCACATTTATTAAAAAAAAAATTATAATTTAATTATTATATAATTTTTTTTTTCATAAAACATTTCAATGTTGCGGGAGAAACAGTGCGTTAGTCTGGTAAATTTTTTAAGCCAGTCTAGGTAAGTCTAGGTAGAGAAGAATAGGATCCGTATATACTTTCGTGTAATAAATCAATTGCCACCCGAAGGTTATGCGATTCCTATTCGATCTACAATTCAGTCCATTATTGCTGTACTTACAGTATAGATCACTGAAACATACACATTTGTGTATTATTTTACACAAAAGGGTACCAAAACGGGTTAATGTTTTTGATACAGTGTAGCTGATCGAGGTAACTGAAACTTCACCGTTAAAGCAACAACAAAATGATCAACGCTATATTCGTATTGTGCCATAAGGTCAACTATTTTTTGCTAAACGTTTTATCTTAGTTACAGCAGTGTATGATATTATGTATCTGAAGTACTGTTAGCGAGTGTAACAATGAAAAAACTGGGTAATAATTTATTATTAAATACCACACAATATAATATTATACAATATAAACTAATAACTATGCAAAACAGTCTCAAGGCAGTGTACCAAATACTACTTTTCATAAACCTTCGAAATTCAAGATCGTCATAATATTATTCTTATAATATGTATCAAACTTGGTGACTTAAATATAACTCAAAACACAATCTAATCGGATTATTAAACTTTCACTTGACGCTAAGACCTTAAAAATGATTTTACGCATACGGTACGTTTGATAGTCAATGCTAAAATACTCGGCGTTCTCGGTTTCATTTAGTAATTCAATTCCAAGTGATAATTTTAACGAAGTCGACGCCATTAAACTATTTTTTAGCGTAGTGCCCAACGGCCACCGGTAATATTCTATGTGCTATTAATTATAATCATATACACCTACTCGTTAAAACAAAATAATGAACATTATAACGAATAATTATTATCTAATGACATATTATAATGTTTCTGTAACTTGCAAATTCGTAGTCTGTTGTAACGGACAGGTAATATTATGAGAGACCTCATGTGTAGTGCTGCACTGATTGGCATCATTTTATCGTAAACGTCACACGGGTTCAAAGAAAAACTACTAATTTACTACCAAAAACCTGTAAAAATTATGTATGAGTTTTTTCGTGGACAGTTTCCGTCGTACAAAATATATTTTACTAATTTAGACTAATTCGCGACCGCAACAACGGTGCTTGACCTATGTAATATAAGGGTTTACACTATCGGCTATTATTGCCTCTTGCTAAAGATCCGGATCGAAAGACAACGGTATCGTCTTAATTGGTTTACAAGACTAAACATGGCTATAACAACATTTCGACGGTATAGGTCACACGCATGAGGAGCACTAACTTATACCTCTCCAAGTGTAATCGTAGTTTAGGTTTACCCGCATATCGGCCGGATTGAAGCTTTATAGTAATAAAATAAGTGTGCCTTGCATCTGGCATTCCGCGTTGGGGAAAAAATGCAACCTAACGGTCTTTTTTTGTTGATAGTATTTCTTCACACACAAAAAAAAAACATACTACCGGTGCGATAAAATAATATATGGGCGTAAAAAAAACATATTATTTAGTAGTGGAATATTCTGCGGTTTGCACAATTTGTTATTTTTTTCAATTATTCAAAAAGCATTGCAGGATCTGTTGTGTAATTTACACGTCCGAGTCTACCCACAATGTAAGTTGGAGGCGGCGAAAGTCAATAGATAAACAATCATTGTATTCGATAATATCGAGAAAAAACGATAAACGTCGCTGGTGTATTATATTATAATAATAGTATATTAACGCCTTGACTGAACAGTGTTGGGTTTCCAATCGTTCGCCAACCCAAATTATTGTATATTTCGTATTCATATACTATTATCGTTATTTCGAAATATTAACATTATTATTATAGACGGTATATATGGGTTGACCAGATTTTACTGGTTAATTGCCATTTTAAATACAAAACGTTTGCGCAACAGTTAAGGTAGGTAGGAAAAAAACCTCATTGATCATACATCATTATAACCTTCTCCGCCGAGGTGCGATCACACAATCGATGATCGATAGAGCCGAAAAACCGTCAATCGTTTGCCGCGAGGAGACTATATTACATATTTCTTAACCGCTAATTACTGCACTGGGTATCCGCGGCGGACGGACCTTGTTTTTTTATCGACCACCGTTTAAGTCTGATATTTCAACACTTCCATGTGCGGACTCTTAAGCGCATTAAAGAAAAAAAAAATTGTTTCGATATCACGATATTGAACCGTCGTCAATAACAATAATCATTATTATTGCTCAAGTGTATATTATTAATATAGTACCGCCGAGCAATACACTGTATTAGGTACTCGATCCAAATGCATCTGGTCGAACGCGCTTACAACCGGAAAGTAGCGACGACGGGGTTCGGTTGTAAGTCGCGAGAGAAAGTCCTTAAGATATGTGTAACAAAATAAAAATAATAACAATATATATATATATATATTGTACACATAATAATATATGTGTGTAGATTATACGAGCGGCCGCCGGGTTTCCTTTAATGGGCAAAACGCAAGTGTTTCGCGACGGTAATTTTTCGGATATTTTATTAGCGCGCTTTCACGACTTGCCGGGGACGTTTACCCCTGAAAAACCGTGTCAAAGTGTTTTTACTTGTTCGGTGATGTGTCACAAATGATATATGCAAACGTCTCACAGCTATTATCCGTATGATAAAAATCGAATTGGCGCTTCGCGGATCGCAGCCGGTGTTTGCTGATAGCTAAAGTAGAAAATGTTTGTTGTTTTTCAAAACTACCAAAACGACAAAATCTGCACGACCGCGAGGTGGACCAGCTGTTGTATACTAGGAGGTCGTAAGATACCGGAGGACACGTCGTGATCGCGCGGTTCAATCTCGGTTTCTGGCGCGTTCCGAAAAGAAAATGCCAACTAATCCCCGATATTGAGCAACTCGCGGCGAAGGAAGTTTTTTTATTATTATTAAAGTCACACAGTGTTTGTATAATAAGTAATACAAGTGCGTTACGCGGCCGACAAATCGGAAGGCAACGTACCCGCACTGTGTGCGACACGGGCGGACTTGCAAAGTAAGTATTGCGTTTTTTTCGCTCCATTCTTTTTGTTTTCGCCCAACGTTTTACAACGATTATGTTATTATGTTATTTGTACTATTACTATTCTTTAGCCGTCTATGTTAGCCGTTACGACACGCCGCCGCCGCCGTTATAAGCGCATCTGCCGGTCTTACGTCGTCGTGATCCGTTGTCCGCTTTTAGTTGTGTCATCGAACAAACTTTACAAGGTGTCGTCGTCCAAGTATACTATGCTGACGTTCTACACAATGCTAGAGCGCAGAAATGGTCTCGTTTTTTTTTTCCTTCACTTTTATTCACAATGAATAGGACACACACACATTATGGTAAATGACCCGTGGAACGGTTACCCGCTCACGAAATCGTCGCATGCGCACACAACGACTGTCCGAGTCGGATTTTCGTTCAACCAAAACGTCATATAAGATAATATACACGTATATCTTTATATGGTATGCACTTGGGGAGTATATATATATATATATATATATATATATATATATATATATATATATATAGAAATGGCTGGTGCCGCCGTGATGTAATGTCGGTCGCGGATGCATACGCAATTTACCGCCCTAATTGTTCGTTACCACGTTGCGCCATCCCAAAGATAATGGTAATTAATCGATAGTCCGCCGAGAAGGAGTTGGGTACAAATAGGTGTAGTTTTTAGTAGAGCCCAGGCAATAATATTATATTATATTGTAGAACTGCATAACTGCAGAAGTGAACTGAAATATGTACAAATGCGCGCGGACC